TCAAATATTCCTCTTAGCAGTTTCCCCCCAGAAAACTTGCTAATTTTTACTCCCAAAGTAACAAAAGTAGTTTTTGTTTTGTTTTGTTTTGTTTTATTTTGTTTTTTGTCTACAAGGATGAGCTTGAGGGTAATATACACCACATACATCACCAAAATTATCTTATTAACATTAATCTTACTGTTAGTTCTTATGAAAAGTCAGCGTTTAAAGGTCAGTTTTCTAAAATGTCTTATTTTGAGAGTATAAACTATCCCTATATTTAATAAGTGGCATGTATTTTTTTGAGAAATAATGGATATACCCAATGCAGTGGAAAACTTGGTTTTTCATCAGTAATGACACTGACTATATTTTGTCTCCTTCAGCCACTGAGTACACAGATTCTAAAGCATTTTGCTTTGATGAATCACATTTGTAATACAATCATTGTACCCATCCCCACCTAATATACTGTAACACATTTTCCCCTGCTAGATCTGGCCACAGTCATTTCACAAGAGAAAGAAAAAAAAAAAACTGATTAAAAGGAAACAGGACAGACAGTGAGTAAGCCATGAACAACTGCCCAAAGAACTGTAAAACACCAGGCAGATCACTTCCATGTGTTTCAATTAAAGCTGCCAGGAGAGGTGGAAAAAGAACTAGAGAGAAAACTGATAAAGTCCTAACCATTCCCTCTTTTGTAAGGACAGTAAACACCAATGGAAGAAAGGTTACAATTAGTAAGGACTTGCAAAATTACAAAACAGGAAAACATTTGGGACTTTTTTAATACAGTCTAATTTATAATCCTGCCAAAGGATATTATAAAAAGCACTTTATATGCATTTTTAATATATATATAGAAAAAGACTAGGAATATACAGACAATAGTTTTCTTTCAAAGGCAGGACAAACATTAGAACTTTTTTTCCTCTTTCATGCATATTCATTGTATATCTGTTCTTCCTATGACTTATAAGAAAGGAAAAACAGGTTCAATGACAAAGAAGATAAAATCTATATTTCAATTTGTATAAAATGGAATGCCATTTGGTTTAGCAATTTTTCTGATATAATCAATTTTTCTACAGAAAAATTGAAGTGTGTCCCATCAAAACTCATATAGAAACCCTAACCTAGTATCTCAATAGCTAGTATCTCAAAGCTTTATTTAGAAATGAGGTGACTGCAAATAGAATTAGTAAGATGCTATCACTACAGGGGGCCCTAATCCAACATGACTGGTACCATTACAGAAAGTGGAAATTTGGCCACAGAGACACAGAGAGGACATCATGTGAAGATGAAGGCAGATGTTAGGATGATGCTCCTGCAAACCAGGGAATGTCACAAATGGCAGGCAAAACAGTACAGCAAGTAGATAAGCATGGAACAGATTCTTTGTCATATCCTTTTAAGGAACCAACACAGTAAATACCTGGAATTTACATTTTTAACCTCCCAAACTGTGAGACAACTAATTTATGTCATTTAAGCCATGTAGATTATGGCATACTGTCACAGCAGCCCTAAAAAGTGAACACAAGTTTCCAAAGCATGACACATGAAGATGTTACACTCTGAACACACACATGTTCTTCTCCCCAACATCCTATTACTGCAGGCAGGTGAGACCTTACAAGGTATTTCTCCAAGGGTATGTGAGAAATAATATAGGCCATTTCTCAACCCAGGTTGGGCCTTAAGACTGTGACATACTCCCCTTACTCTTTTCCTCTTTCTCACTAATACACAACTAGACATGTTGGTAACCCATCTTCAGAGAGGAGGTCCATAACTTGAGATGCAGCAGATCTGGGTCTTACAAGGAACCTGGGTCTGTGTCTGAGGGCAGGGCAGAATGTCGTCCACTAAGTGCAACCCTGTTTAGAACACTGCTGTTCTCTAAGCCACTATATTAATAGGGTACCTCAGAGTTCCCAAGGAAATAACACAGTTCAAACACTTGCAGCAAAACAGTATATTGAAAACCTGGTAAATGGCTTCCCTGGTGATACAAAGGGTTCATTCTCAGCACTATGAAGCTATCGCTAGCCACTTCAGCAAGAGTTGAGCCTTCCAGGCCAGGGAACTGACCCACATGGTGCAGCAAACCTCTCCTGTCTCACCCACTGCCCCCCCTCAGCAGTGGATTTCAGTAGACATGCCTTTCACCCCACACCTCTGGCCTACATCTCAGCTCTTACATGCATAAATAAACAAGTATTTAAAAAAGAAAACAAGGCAGATCTCAGAAAGAAACAATAACCATGACTCTGGACGAGATGTGTAATCTAAACAATTACTATTATAGCTTCAAGTCTGAGACAATATATCTGATGATCTTACACATTACTAAACTACAATTTTGACCCTTTGTGGAAAATCTACCAATTCTTAAGATAATTTAAAATTTACCTTTGTCATTTTCTAAACTTTATTGAGAATAATTAATAGACTATAATCATATTGTTATGGCCTTATATATATTTTGATGGTGGGGGAAAAAAAAATCTATGAATGTCACTCTCTTCCTCCAAACCTCTCCCCAAAGTCAATATAAATCTTGGAGGAATCCTTCCAGACTTAGATGTCTTTAAAATAAGTAAGTCAAATTTTAAACTCAATTCAAGAAGTTTTAATTTTGGATTTTGGTCCATAACCCAGAGTCAAAAACCAAAACCATTTCAATAATAAGCCTTTTTATTTGCATTATTCTGGGAGGAAAAATACATTTTTTCAAAGATGATAGTGACCAACAATGTGGCCCATTTATTGATCTTACATATTTCCCAAAATGTCATTAACTAAAACTGGAAAATATGTGACTATAAGAAAGTTCCTAGAGGATAATTCAATTTTTCTCCATTACTTCATTCTACTGTGGACGAATGATAATGTCTACTTCTCTCTGATCAAAATACTAAAAATTACTCTTCTGGAAATTGTGGTGACTATTAAGTTACATGTTTCTTTATGAGGTGACTATCAAATCTTATGGACACTTGCTTATCAGGAAGACATTTGGGGTTGAACTAAAGAAGAAAGGAGATAAATCAACTTCCATTTAGCTATTCAGAGACCTGTGACCAAGAATGCAATCTTAAGTTCCAACTCATGGTTTGTGTGATGCACACATGTTCCTGGATTCAAACATATGTTTCCATTTAAACTGCTGGAATGTATATATGGCCCCACAAAGAGTGATAAATATTAGCAAATCTTCTAAGAATGAAGGTCCTTTGTGATCATATACACTGTTTTGATTCAGCTTTTAAAATGTGAGTCACACAAAAACTGAACAGTCTGTTTTTCACATCTAGCTTCAAGTTAAAGAACAATGAAAAAATATATATACGCCTGCATAAACTGCATCTAATGCACTATCACAGCAAACCCAAGGCAGACCTGGATTTCTACTTTTTTGTCCTCTGTTCAACCCCCTTGGGGTCCCCAGTAAATGCAGGGCATTCTGAAATGCCCTGGTACTGGGTACAAGGTAGATATTAACTCATGTCAGATAATACCAAGTTAGGGTCTTCAAGGAAAGCATGTAAGTGTCAGTAGGTAAAAGCCTAAAGTAGAGGTAAAAATTTGTGGTGTGACACATTCTGACACATTGGCCAGCATTTTTTCACATTTTAAATTTAAATTCTTTTAGGAGAAAGCTCCCAATCTCTGACATCTTCACATGCTATGTGCTAGCCAATGTTTGAAGTGTGAATCCTGGTAAATTCTTCCACCTCCTGGGCCTTCTCACATTCTGCGTCTTTGTTTGAAATATCTTTCCAAGTCTCTCAGCCTACCTCTTCACCTGACTAATTTCTCTTCTAAAGACCTGAAGGAGTCCTTTTCTAAATCCTAGTCAACTGCTTAACCCTCCCTATCCCAGACACCCTGGCTATTCATGTGACCATATCATCAGACACCAAACAGGTTCCCTTTGGGCAGAGTCCCTGCCTCTGCCTTGCTGCCCTGGGTACATAGTGTGGCACACAGTGGATAAATACATATTTTCACAATGAAGAACATGAAATACAATCATTAGCTCTGAAAATGCTTGCTTTTAATACTTTTGGAAAAGAATGCAGTTGATACACTCCCCCCCAAAAGTGTAACATACAGAAAAGAGAATGAACAGATTTATGAAACCCTATCTGGTTGCATAGAGGTAATTTTCAAAGCCTTGATAATCTTCTACAGCATTATTTGGTCTTATCTATAGTTGCTGATATATTTTCACTCTTCCCTCCATTTATGAATCTCATATTTGATCCCACACATATGCTTTCTGTATTCCAACAACAAAAACACAAATACAACACACCCACATTAACAAAAGAAAAATGTGAATGCAGCCAATTCCTCCAAAAGAATAGGCATCTTCCCTTATATAAGACACTTATTTTAAAATAGATCTGACTAGAATCCAAGAATTGCTCTGCACAGTTGTTCATATTCATTTTTCAATCAGTTCTAGTCCTATTTCTTTTTGTTCTATATGACTGGCCAGACTTTGCTGAAGGTTAAAACTTTCAGGCAACAACCAGTGAGCCAATGAATTAGGTTACCAACCATGAGCAAGGAGATCTAAAGATGATCTTTTGTTCATTACATATACATGTTTTCCCATCCATGATCACACTTACCAAAAATTAGGAAAACTTTGAGGGATTCCTCTTTGCCTCCCAGGCCAGATACTAGGTATGTGTTTGGGGAAAGAGAAATCCATGGTAGCCAAAAAATAAGATAATTAGGAGAGCATTTTGTTGATTTCTTCATGAAAAATTCACCTGGCAGCCCTTCTTTCCTCCATGCAAAAATTGCAATAGATTTGCCCCAGGAGGAACGTCCTAGAATGACTAAATCCCCAACATCATCCCACCCTCATTTCTCCCTGAGTAACACCTATATCCCTTGATATGGAAGGGGAGTGTTTAAGGGCTTCTAGAATAACTATTAAGAAAAGTATATTTTTCATTATCATCATGAGGCAGGATTAAAAAACAACTTACCTTCTGAAAAAAGTCTTCCCCACTTTTGCCTTTTCCTTCAGCAGCAGCTGAAAATAAAAATGTATACATTTAAAATATCTTCATTTCTCCACCTATATAACCAACATGAGAATGCAAAATTAAGGCATGAGAATGCAAAATTAAGCAAGACACCATCCTCACCCCTGCATAGCTCAGGACCTGCTGAAGGGCCTCAACTGAGAGTCAAAATTGAAAGACAAAAAACACTAGCTGAATCAATTATACATTTTTAGATAATTTCATATTTCTTTTTTGTGTAAAAGATTCATAAATCTCTACTTTTACACACAAATGAAAGTGATCTTGTCCTTACATAATTAAGGCACTATTTGGACAAGAACAAGTATCTACCAAAGCCACCAGCTGTAGCAAAGAGTAGAAATTTCACCATCTAAGAAAGCTATGTGAGAATGGCAGAAGAGAAGGATATTTGACAATAGAGGGTCAGAGACAAGAAAGATTTAGAGATGCAACATTTTGAAACAGACTTTGAAAAATGAATATCATAGCTAAAGAATATAGGTGGCCTCTAGAGCTGGAAAAAGCAAGAAAGTGGATTCTTCCTGGCAACATTTGGAGGAATAAGGTCTTTCTAACATGTGATACCAGCCAGTGAAACCCATTTCAGAATTTTGGTCTCTAGAACTGTAAATAATAAACTTATGTTGTTTCAAGACACTATACTAGTAATTGTTAAAGCAGCAAAAGTAAACTAAGACATAATATCAAGATATTTTTTTAGTTGACCCCACAAACTATGATTGTCACTCTAATTTAAAAATACATCAATAATAAGACTTTGACAAAAATATAAAGCAAATATGAACAAAAAAAGCTTATTTTTTTTCTAAATTAGGAAATAAGGATAATACTAGTCAAAGGAACCACCTGAGCCAGTTAAAATGTAGTCATAAAATCTAAAGATATAAACCTAATAAGTCTACTTATTAGGAGTCACGTCTACTCAGCTGTATTTACCTTGGGATGTCTTTCTCTCTCAAGCTAAAAATAGTTTAAAGGGTCCCTTCTCAATGACACCATTGCTTGCCAAGGAAAATTGCATGCCAGTGCACCAAAGGAAAAAAAAAACAAAAAACAAATAACCTAATGACATCGAAGAAACTCTTCACTGAAAAGAAATTGTTTTAAAACCAAGGATATTTTCAATGACCTATCTAATAAGTGAAATAATCACCCTTTTTGTTCACAGAGAACCCCTACAAAACTTGAATTCAACAGTTTAAATCTTATGATTCAATTACCTTCCACTACAGAATTTTACTTTAGGACACTTATTTTGTTCATGACAAACTCATTATGTCACAATCTTAAAATGCTTCTTCATTTACAAGACCAGCTAAACAGACTTCACAGACTGGCCTTTCAATCCCTGAATGGATAAAAAGGAGATATTTTCCATAGTTCAGAAAAACTACAATTAACCATGTTCCCAAAACACATCTCAAATTTAACCAGAAACCTGTACCTTTACCAATTTTAAAACCCAAGACAAAACAGGAGGCAGAGGGTCAGAAATGGCATACACAAAAGTCCTTGGTCTTTTTCATTCTTAGTGTTCATGTACAAGACACTCCAAGTCAAAGTCTCATTTTTCCCATAATTCTGTGAATGTTTCATTTCCCAAGCAGACGAGTGTCCTAGTAAAAGATTTGGGTAGGATTTGGAGATCACTGTCACAGGTGTAAATCATGGTTAGCCCAGTCATTGGCACTTTCCAGGAAGTGTTCTTATCTCACATCCAAGCTGCTGGGTCCCCAGAAAGGCTTTCAATGACCCCGTCCAAAGCTACCAAGATCCTAGAAGCAAATCAAGGGAGAGTGACATTTCACCAAATGCTCTCCTCCCAAAGGGGGGTCCTAATGGGTTCATATTTAAGAGCTTAATTTTTAAACCTACTCTGAACTCCTCAATATCAGAATGTAAACTCCTTTAAAGAAGTGGGAGATGGGGCAAGGGACTTTGAAAAATGTTTCTTTCTCAATATAAACCTAGGCACTTAAGACCTTCATTTTGAAGAGTTGGAAAAAGCAAAGAGAAGCATTCTGTTATCCCAAAAATATTTAAATCCTGTGCTGGTGAATCAAAATAGGTAAGGCCCTGTCTTCAGCCAAGTACCCCCTTATACTTAGAGAGACAAATAGACTGAGACAGATAGATACGCATATTCAAAGTCACACAACTCGTCAAATAAAGTCAAAATTTAAAAATCAGTTCTAAGGACTTATCATAGTCACAACTCTATCCAAATTACACTTACTAGAAGTTTTATTTACCTCTTTTCATTCTGGTCAATGCACTACAAAGTGAGTAATATTGTTCTTCACCTAACACTTAGCAGTCCTGTTACCGCTGCAGAATAGAGGGTGCCCCTGTAAGACCACTTGAGAGTTGGATGGCAAGAAATCAAATGCAACAGATGGTAACATCTTGACTTTAATGGTTTTCTTTTCATTATATTTGGAGGGGGTAACATTGCCTCTGAAAACAGCAGACCCATACTTGCTGTATTAGCCTTTGCTAACTACTGAAGTCTGGCTGTATCCTGAATAACAGTTCTACTGAATCTTTGCTTTCTTCCATACCAAAATGCCCTTGTCCTTTTTACTCCACAGTTAGCATGAACAGATACAGAAAGTTTTAGCAGGTTTTTAAAACTGTCTTTACAAAATGACTTCTACTTGATGCCCCAAACTTAATCTTGATTGTAAAACTGAATTATTGCTGCCAATGAAAGCAATTGTCTTTATTTTTGTGAGACAAAATTCCAGAAAGAAATTACTTCAATACTACTGAAACATAACTGGCTGGTTGTGCAGGTAAAACATTTCAAATTTTAAGCTAAACAATTCATTTTTTATGTTTATTATAATTTCTCCAAAGCTTTGCCTTATTTTATTTCATAGCTTTGCTTCACCAGAAATTTGGGATAGCAAAAGCCAAGGCCAATAAAAACAGCAAAAGTTGAAACAGGTGTAAACTATTACAGTCCACCAAACTATGGGGCCAGTTTAGTTAATTACTGAATTAAAGGGGAGAAAAGGCTTGATTTTAAATTCTTCATCAGGCATATGGAAACTTCTGTTTAAATATCCTTTTCATTCTGAAATGATTTTCCATTATAACATGATGCTTTATGGAGCCAAATCTAAAAACACATTTCATATTTAAAACATAGTATGGAATATCTTTAAACATTCCCCTAGTAAGCAATGAGTTTTTTCACTCAATGTGGAATCTGAGCAAGGAAAAACCATGTTCGAGTTATGAAAAATAACTGAGGAATAATTCTTCAAATCTGTGAGGATTCAGGACATTCTTTATCCTCGCTCCGCTCTTTTTTTTTTTTTTTTTTTTAAACACAGCTCAATCATAGCTCATTTGCAACTAAGAGAACTACTGTATTCTAAGGTTACCAGAAAAGAAATAAATACTGAGATACCCTGACTCTCCCACAAAAGTTCATTACTAAAAATTTATAACATTCACTTATGGTGTCAATTTAATACATATATTAAAAAAGCTACACCATATATTTTATTCTACATATTACTATTTTCTTAAAATTTCCTTGATAATTTGGCTAATTTCATTGAAAGAGGAGCCAACACAACATGTGGTTTCTATATATCCCAGGTAACATTTTAAATTCATGAATCATATCTAACACAAGAGTGGCATGCAAAGCTTTAAGAACTAAGTGAAGATCTAGTAGAGATTAAGTTTATTTTTAAAGTTTCTTCAACTCTTAATTAAACTGATTTGTACTCTGAAGAATACCTCCAAGTTTAACTTCACTAGTAACTAGTGTCTTTGAATGTTCAAGTAAATTTGAGATTTTTCAAATTTCACTTTCCTAAAATTTCGTAAGTGGTCTGCAAGTTCAGTGTGAACAAATCAAGTTCATCTGCTCTGGAATTAAAAAAAAAAAAAAAAAAACCTCAAACACCTGTTGAGAAAAATCAGGACAACACAAAAATAAAAATAATTTCTACCTCTGTAGTGACTACATTAAAGATGGTTATCTCCCTTTGCTTTCTTAAATACTGTTTTATTTTTACAGTTAAAAAATTCCCATGTTTATTACAATGGAGATGAAAAAAAAATTCCCATGTTCAAATGGAATAAATTCTTTTTTAAAGATACTATAAAACAGGATGTACAGATCTGTACATGATCTCATATTACATATGAGCATTTAACATATTAACTAACAAGTGTTACTTGAATAGCAGACTTGTTGGGTTATATATTACTTTCTCCTTTGCAGTTTTAAAAAAGAAAAACTTGAACTCCTTTTTAATTTGGTAAAAATCATTTAAAAGCTTTCTTCTACTGGATTTTACCAATAATGGTAACTACAAATAGTTTTACAATTACTAGTTTGTTACATCATTTTCACCCCATAGCATAAGGCAATTTGTCAAAAATACTAAGGCCAAAGTTGAATACAAGCTACCTACAGAGACTGAATGACTACTGCATTACCTGTGATCAATAGTGAACAGTCAAAAAATCATACAAAATGTAGAATAACATAGGTCTGAGAGACACAAAAACATTAATTCAAAAAGATGTACTTCTATGATTATCGGAGCACTACTTACAACAGGTAAATCCTGGAAACAACCCAAATGCCTAAAACTAGATGACTGGATCAAGAAGATGTGGTATAAGGGCCCTCCCTGGTGGCACAATGGGTGAAAGCACAGCACTGCAAGAGAGCCACAGCCACTTCAGTGTGAATTCGATCTCCAGCCTCCGAGGTGGCCCACATGGCGCCACAGACCTCTCCTGACCGGCTTGCTGCTCCCCTCAGCAGTAGACTTTATCAGTCTGCCTGTCCTGCTCCCCACTCTATCTCTGGTGAATCCTCTCACTGCCCCTGCACCTCTGGCCTGTACCCCAGACCTGTATACATACATAAATAAATCTTAAAAAAAAAAAAAGAGAGAGAGATGTGGTGTGTGTGTGTGAATATATATACTATATATATATTATACAAAAT